CAAGTGAGCAGTCAAAAATTGCTAAAGTTGTGTAGTCAAAGAGTTCATTCTTTGCACGATCCATGGCAGACCCGTAGCAAGGAAGAAGGTAGAGTAGCAAGACGAGGAGAATGAGGGTAAAGAAAGATGACACCGCGTATAAAAATTTACGTTTGATCGTGAATCGCATCCGAGTGAGTGCTTCATACTCTGAAAGTTGATAGGCGAATATATGTAAACATCAGTGGTGTACCGAGAGGGAGGGGGGTGCGCCCCCCCCCCCCCCGGAGAACGGGCCGCGAAACTTTTAAAAGTCACTTGCATGGGTTATAATTATGCAAATGACTTGTCTGCACTTGTAAATAATTAAAATGATTTCTAAAAAAAATTCAAAAAATCTTTGGCCTTATACAAAAGTTTTTTCGGGGGCGTGGATGATGCTACGCCCCTTTTTCTGAAATTTCGAGGTTCTGAGCCCGCGAAAATTTTAAGAGCATACCAAAAAAATTTTCGGAGTGTTTGGCTGACGCCACGCACCTTCATCGAAAAAATTTTTTTGTCGCCCCCCCCTCGAGCCGAAATCCTGGGTACGCTATTGCACTTTGTACTCATAAGCGCTTCTAGACGTAAGTTAGAGCATGCAGCATCCCTGGCAGTAAGGCTTAATAGTGTTTCTTTCCGGCAAAGGAAGGAATCCAACTCATAGCCTTGTCATTCGTGTTTGCTGCCAATGCTCACGCAAAGGGCCAACAGGAGTTACTTAGCTGTTTGCCTTTGTTTCTGCATTAAGTGCTAGCTTGTATAGTCGAAGCAAATTTGAGAAGTGTACACTCTCTGTTCATTTCACCGGTCTTTGTGGTTTGACATGCCCCCTGACCGTAGTCTGTTGAGTGCCACAATATGGCAAAGACGTAAGGCTTTGTGGTCTATTCCAGAGCAGCTCATGATTGCAAAAACGTTTGGCACATAGAAGTCTAAAGAAGCAGGTTTTCACAAACCCACGGCTTTTTGATTTGATACAATACTTATGGGCAACTGTTAGCAAAATTTCATATCGCAAGGAAGTCAGCATCACATAAATGTATTACAGTTCTTCGCTACTTCCCTGGTATATGTGGCAACATGGATTATCTGGCAGTCACTGCCATACCTGCCTCAATCGACGTGGATCTTCTTTGGAATGACCACTCCTATCGGCCATGCAGTAAGGACCGCTCCCAATACTTTCTAATGCAAATTGGCAATCTCTTTTAGATCAACCCGACTATCTACCTCATATTCAACAAGAATTTGAGGCGAAGATTGTCTGATATGATACGGCGCAAACGTGCCGACCATTCGATCGTGACTGTCGCTGGCACGACTAAAATGAAACACTGAAATTGAGATTCCATTCGTAACAAAATATTTTCAATTGTATTGAATACCATATCCAAATGTGTGAGGAAGTGCAACATCTTCCAACTAGTCGTTTGAATATGCAACTTATCAAATTGACCATTACTCAAAAGATTTCGGAGCGACAGATGCGTTGACAGGACTGTTATCATCACAATTACGTTCCCCAGTTCTGTGCACCGATGTATCTGTTGAGGATTAATATTTGGAATAAATGATTTAGCTTAACACGTTGACGACGAGCTGCTTTTTGACGTCTGTTCCTGTGGACGAACCGTTTACGGGCATTTTCACAGCTAGCTGCATGTATCGTTCATTCGTTGACCGTACGGACTGCCGACCGCGTGGCGACTGCGACGCGTGCCTTCTAAACTTGCGAAAAAGTGACAAGTTGGACCGTGGTTTAAGATGAGAAGAATTCTTTGTTTCTTTTCTACATTATAAAGATGAGAAGAATCCTCTGTTTTCTTTCTATTCATCTTTTCTACGAAAACATCATGCACGCGCAGCGGTCGCCGCGCGGTCAGCAGTCGTTACGGTCAACGAATAAACAATATGTATGCATGCATTTATGCGCAAGATACAAAAATACAGTGGCAAAAGTGGGCGTGGCAGCTCCGCCCACTTTTGGCAAGCCCGCCCACTTTTCAAAAATGCCGGAAATTGCACAAAATTCAAGAATCCGTGCAAATCCCGGCACTTTTGAAAAGTGGGCGCTTGCCACTGAGGGGCGGAGCCTGGATAACAGGAGGCGGGGTTAAAATTAAGGTTATTTTGAGTTTCTCCAGTCATTTACGAGTTTTTCTACGCTATTTGAAAAGGAAAGGAGCTTTTTATGGAGGGCAACAGAGTGGGCGAAGTTTGCCAAAAGGGGGCGGGGCCAATGAAATACTTCTAAGCCTAAGGCCCGAATGCACTAACATCCCTGCGGCGAGGGGAGCGACGTTCCCAATGATGTAAAAGTCGTAGCGGCGTCCGCACGCGACCCCTTCATAATGGGGGATGCCGCTCCCCTCGCCGCAGGGATGTTAGTGCATACGGCCCTAAGTTGAATATGTGAGCACGAATCGGAACTATTGTGCACAATGGAACTGATATTTTGGGTGTCGCGCACCATTGCGCGACATCGTCCACAGGACATACTGCATGTCGCGCACCATTGCGCGACACTGTCGTCAACGTGTTAAGGAAGAGCATTATGGAGCGCTAATAGTGTTACAATGTATAATATCAGCTTTTCATGGCTTTCAATCAAAGTCCTTCGAGGCGAGGTGGGTTTGAAACCCAGTAAATACTGGGTTTTCCAACCTATTAGTGAGCGCAGGCCCTTTTAACTTGTTTGTTTCTAGGTTTCGAAGGTGCAATATCTCGCTGCAGCGCAACAACTTCTTTTACCGGGCAGCTTCGATCTAAACGAGCTTGCACCACCGTTCTTGTCTTTAACTTCGGCGACTCAGTTGAAAACAGCCTTGAAAAAAGTAGAGAATCTGCAGTTAATGGGAGTTGAGGATGTAAAGTAACTTGTTTCTGATATTCAATTCATCCTTTCTTTGGCATGGTCGGCTGCTTACTGTCGTAGCAATGGCTCCTTCCTCAACCTGCATGTTTATTTGGCTTGTCTTTGTGAATTTCGGTGTTTTCTCAAAATTCTACTGTTTCTTTTCCCGGGGTTCAAACCAGCTAGCCTCTGCCCGTAGGCTCGCTGGCCCTCATATAAGTGGGACTTCAATTTTGAAAGACATCAAGATTTACAGTCAAGTATCGTCATACTATTTACCTTCAGAGTAGTACAGTTTGTTAACTTAGCAACTATACAAGTGGACTCTGGATGTACAAGAGCCAAAGGTACTTCTTTTATCGGAGGGTTCCGTACTTTGTGCAGCTTCCATATCCAAAGATTGGTAGTTAGCTGATTATATGTGATTTACTACCCAGGCTACGTTGATGTGTTAGTGTTTGTTACTAACCGCTCCTATGATGATTTAAAGAGCACTTTAGGTGCATTGAAATAAAAAAAAATAGAAATGTAGATGTTCGCTTGCTGCCACGACCACTCCTTCTGCAGCTGCAGTCTTTTTATCCAAGTCGAGTTCTTTTTTCCAAAGAGAATGTTGCATTTGGCATCAAGAATTCATCCTGTGGCAATTCGCGGCATATTTTAAGCATTTGAAACATTGGTCGATCGGTGCGATTTGCAAAGGGAGCGTCTCGGCTGACATACAGGGGTGATCTTGATGCCCACATCTTTCATGCAAATTGCACAGTTGCTTCGCGATCCGCGTTACACGCCAGTAATGCCGACATTTTGCTCGCGCAATCGGCCGGCATCACAGGCGTAGCTATTTAATCACGCGTCAATTTTACCGCATTTTACCTGCATTGCAAGCACACTATCAAGCAAAAAATCGATTCTGCAAGTAATCATTTCTTCGTGGTGCTCTTCATCAGATAAGCGAGTAAGATGGATATATAAGAGTCAAGCAAGAGATGTGAACGCGCAACTAGCTGTGATTCTACAGTCTTTCAAGGCAGCTTTCCTACAAAATACTCAGACAGTCGACGGCATACCTCCGGAGCAGAAATGGCCGAGCCGCGGGGTTTCCCCAGCGGGGGATTGCCACTCGTGCTCCGGAGCCCTCCCATTTGTGCTCCGGAGACCTCCCATTTGTGCTCCGGAGCCCTGCCATTTTCTGTTCCGGAGACCTCCCATTTGTGCGCCGGACCCCTCCGATTTTCTGCTCTGCAAGTCTGCCGCGGCATACTGTAATTAGCCCTAATTAAGCTCCAAACCCCAATTTTGTCTCTAAACCCCACCCAAATTAGCCGAATACGACCACCCCCCCGGGTAGGACTTCAGCGCGACCCTCAGCCCCGTTCTTTACCCCCTCCCTCTCACCCCTAGCGTTTGTGGATAGAAGATAGAAGAAAAAATGAAGAGACAAGACATTTATTTCAAATTAACTGCAAACAATCTCCTGCAAATTGCAAAACAAAACTTAGCAGCTACAAAACGGACAACAAAGACAACAGTTGCCGGCAACCTATGGCCGTACCCTAAGCGAAAACATAAGCGAAGTAAGTGTAGTGAGTTAGATTGCTTGGAAAAACACAGCGCAAAAGCTTTTGTCACAAAACCTTTGAGTGCTGATATCTGCATTGCCAGCAAGGTCCAGCAAACTTCATTACCAAGTTCAGCACAGTCAGGTTGTTGATTTCACGCCATCTAAGAATGAGATACTAATTCTTAAGTAAAACATTTTTTGTAAAGTGCAAGCCTTGACTGATATTTGGAGAGCGAACTGAGATCAAACAAGCGAAAATTTTTCCAAAATGTGAATATAAGACGTAGTAGTATAGGTAACAACAGACACAAGACATAACATAAGACGTAGTAGAAGTATTGCTAATAAAAAGAACTTTATGCAAGTGTAAGAAAGAAGACCCAAACCGGTGAACCGGTGGACACGAGATAACAAAAGCACATATCGACAATTTTGATTGCAGGTTTGCCATCATTTCAGATGCAAACTTAGAGTAGTTTTTTTTGCGAAAAAAATGGAACTCAAACTTTTTGCATGATTTAGCATTAGATCCCACACGTGTGAGTATATTTGAAAACAACTCTATTTAGTGAGAAAGTCGAACATCTCTCGAAGAAAAATAACGAGCACTTGCCTCATCCCATCTCTATCAAAGCTTCTGCTGTGAAGTAGACCAAACGCGGAGAACAGTTTGAGAGTAAAATTTCCGAGAAATTTGAGATTCGATTCTTTGAACTCAGCCATACTCATGCCAACCTAAACACCAACAAATGGATACAAGGACAGAATGTGGAGATTAAACATGCCTTATTCGTTTCCGGATTAAACTTCGGTAAGCGATGTCGGGGACATGGCACAAGCTTGAAGAGTTGTGGTAAAGAGTATAGAAAATTAAATACCTGAAGTACACAAAACTCGCAGAATCCGCAATAGAATCACAGCCTCTGAGAACAATAACGAGCGATGGCCGTAAAGTACAGTCGAGTAGATTTAGCGGTAAATATAGTGTGCTTGCACAGAAGGTGAAATGCGGTGAAATTTTCGGAACAAGTAGCTACGTCAGTACCGCGCGTATCCTGCGCGCGCAATGGGCCGGCGTCACAGTCGAAACTATTTCTTCAAGCGCCAATTTCACCGCATTTCACCTTGTGTGCAAGCACACTATATTTACCGCTAAATGCACTCGGCTGTACCTGTGGAATAAGGAACAGTATCATGGTCTTGCTAAAATGACCAAGAATTGATACGACGACTAGAGTCATTCCTGCCCAATAACAAAATGTATCACCAACAAAAACTCGTGCTGGATACTAAAACTAGGGTTTAGTGAGAAGCAGAAAGGGAAATCTGGCATCACTTACTTTATTGAATTGATAGAGAGCCAATGCACACGTTAAGAAGGGTATCAGAAAGTAGAGCGACAACAAATGGTCCCAATACTGTTCTTCTACACGCGTAACCTGAATGTGAGATTGATTTGATAATACGATCGCTGCATTTGCTTTAGAGCTTCAATCTATCACCTGTATCAAGTTGAAAAGTACAACGCTTGCACCTATCACCACAGCTTGCCCGCTTTCGAGACCATTTACACCTAACAATAAGAAACAAAAATCAAACGCAAGGGAAGCTATGACAGCATGGCATAGGAATTAATATAAAAAAACCCACTCACCTGCCAAAATATTGATTGCATTTGTGCAGAAAACTACGACCATACACATGAAAACGTAGTAAAGATGATGGATATTGATTGTAGCAGGAATGCTTTGAGAGATCCATGAAGGTACAAATGGAGCAAGCATAGCCCGCACCATTGTTGAAGGAATAACGACTGTTGTAGACCCTCCTGGAGAGCTCCCAATGACATCATAAATGTAAATAGTCATGGAAGGGACAGGACAAGAGGAAAGGAAAAGGAAGCATCAGGAAAAGCAAGTCCCAATAGAAATTGTACCTGACACATAGTACACCATAAGCAGTGGTAATGAAGACAATGTCGGAAACGCTAGTTTATGACGCCACCTCAGATCAAGAACATCGTCAGCAAATCCTAGTGGAATCGCAGTGCAAATGGAGATCAATCCAGACAAAAACACCAAAGTATTACAGCAAATTGGCTGCTTACCTATTGTGCTCCGGAGACCTCCCATTTGTGCTCCGAAGCCCTGCCATTTTCTGCTCCGGAAGTGTCCCATTTTCTGTCCGGGGCCCTCCCATTTGTGCTCCGGAGACCTCCCATTTGTGCTCCGGAGCCCTGCCATTTTCTGCTCCGGAGGTGTCCCAAATCTGGCGTACTCGCGGCGGGCAAATCTCTCCGCCGCGGCTCTGCCAAATTTGGCGTACCTCCGGAGTAGAAATGGCGTACCTTTGGAGCAGATCCGGAGAAGGGTCCCACTCGCCTGCCGGTGATGTCACCGTGACCTACAAGAAGGGACCGCCCCCTCGCCCCGCTCTCATTGGTCAAGGGTCCGCCGCGGCTCTGCCAGATTTCGACTGTCCGGCGCGACTACGGCACCGATTGTCTGAGTAGGAACATTGTTCACAATTACTCTAAAAGCTCCGGAAAAGAAGAGTGTCACAAAGATTGAGAACCCACTTAAAAAGAAAATTTCATAAGTTTGTTGAAATGGCAAAATCTCCCCAACGTTAGTGGATCATCTGGCCTTAACCAAACCTTTGAAGGAAGGCAGGGAAGCAGCGTTGCACGATCCTCCAAGGACTCGCAGCTTTAAAGACATGAAGGAAGGCAGGGAAGCAGCGTTGCACGATCCTCCAAGGACTCGCAGCTTTAAAGACATCCCCGGTACTCCATCTCTCTTCAGCAGTACGCAATCACTGAGCAAGGAAAACGATAATTTTTCCTCAAACAGTTTTCAGCAAAATACAAAATCCAGCAGATGAGGTGCAGCTGCAGGAAAACCTTTTCGGGCATCAGCCATCATGTTTATGATTACATAATTCAGAGTTCGACCCAAGCTCCAAATTTGTGTTCAAATCATGAAAGCAGCATCAACAAAACAAAGACATTCTGAACCCTAAAAGCCAAGGAACTGTTTTTTTTTTCAGCCAAAAGCGGAGAGCTTGTGCCAGACCGATTGGACAGAAGAGAGTCCTGAAAGCTCCAGATGGCAAGGGAAAGCTCGACCCAACACATAATTTTGGAAACGAATCACGGCGAACATCTCTCTTGAAAAGTGCGCCCACAGCTTCTTCACCCTTTGCCACGCACCTTTGAGTTTGTCTTCAAACATGCTTTTATAAGTTTTGAGTCATCGTAGTTTGGGGATCACTCTACAAAATGGTTAGTGAAACAAAGAAAAAGACATAGTAATAAGTGAGATATCAACGATTAAGAAGTATGTACACATTTTTGGGAATCCTATATACTAGACACATGCAAGAACATAGTCTTGAATTCATTGTGCTGAAAATTTCAAAAAAAAAATACAAGGAAAACTCGGCAAGTTTGCAATCCTTGGTCTCTTTGCCCATGACTGTCCCTTAACCCACTGCAGCACTGCTACCTCAAGTGACCTCACTTGCTTCACCGGACTAATATTGCTCAGAGTTCTTATGAGGAAAGCTACCTAACTTAGCTCGGTCTTTTGGCAAAAGACATAAAAGTTCTGAATCAGCTTCAAACGCTGAATTCAAATATGCTATACCTAGCTGCCGCGCATCATCCGAAGCGATGTGGTTTACTGCGCGGAACTGGCATGCTACCGAACATAGAAGGCCTGTAGATAAAAATCTGCAAGAAAAATTTGCTGAGATATCGTGACAAATCCAATCTTTTCTCACCAAAAAGAAGCTTAACGCAAGTATACTAGCACTCAAAGGCAGCGTCCAGGCAAAATTTCGTATGGAATTTTCCTCGCTTACCTGGGCTTATCCTCCCGGTTGATTCCGAAAATGCAGCTTGGAGAGCGCGAAAACGTCGAAGACGGGCTTTTCCAGAAGCTCTTATTCTGAATTTTGTCGCCTGCCGCCAAGGTTAAGACGCAGAGTCTTTGTGGGACCCTACGTTTTGACTGCGTGAGGTATGTGCGCACTCTGGCTTATCTAACTAACTCGTCCCAGAAGCAATTTGGTGCATTGCCAGGTGGGCAAGAGCCTTACCAACACGGGCGCCCCTGTACTCTACATTTTCGTATCTGCCCGGACGCTGCCTTTGAGTGATGATGCCGGATGCCCGTGAGTCGATGAGTGTGCCAATTTCGCGCAGGGAAAAGTCCATACCTCGTTTCAGATTGATGTCGGCAGCTAGGAATAGCATAATTGAAATCAGCTTTTGAAGCTAATTCAGAATATCCATCCCTTGCCAAAAGTCCGAGCTAAGTTAGGTAGCTTCTGTTGTTAATTGCCCGAAATGATTGACTTCGCAACAATTGTAAATGATCTTATCAAAGTTTTGATTGAACGAGAATAATATGTTCCATCATCTACCCTAAATTGACTGATCAATTCTCCTTCAAAAGTGATTATTCTTTTTGATGCTCCGTTACCTTCCGACTCTTCCTGGTACTTTTGTACAATGTGTCTCAGTTCTTAGAGACTATCTTAGCTTTAGAATTTTCAAAAATGGTACACTCATCTGTGGCAACTATTCTCTCATTCTAAAAAATTACATTCTTCAGCCAATGCCCAATAATCTATGCTGTTTTTAAGACATGTTAGGTAAAGATCTGTTCACCTTTTCAAATCGTCAGAAGACGAGATTAATTCCAGCCAAATTGCTATGGTACCAATATTCGTGCACACCAATGGCGGTTCCAGGATTTCCGTTCGGAGAAGGGGGGGGGAGAGAGACAACAGGATTTTTTCTTCAGAATAAAGGTGCATGGCATTAGCTACGCATTCCGAATATTTTTTTTTGCAATGCTCCCCAAACTTTTGAAATTTTATGCAAGGCTAATGTGAGCTTTTAGAGATTTTCAAAAATCATGCTAATTTCTGCAAGTATGGGCAAGTCACTTGCACATTTTTATAAAGTTATTTACTCATGTAAGTAACTTCCAAAAATTTATGGACCCATTCTCGGTGGGGGGGGGGTTCCTTTACGCTACTGGTACATACAAAAAATGCAAAAATACATGTTCGTGTGTAGTGGGTGCTTCCATGAGCCTTCATTTCTCCCATCGCAACCACTCATGTGAGCCGAAATCCTCTCTTTGACGAATCCCAATCCTAGAGCTTAGAATGGGCCTCTCGTATGTGTTATTTAGCAATCAATGGAAATAAGCCATGCGCATCACAGCCGCACTTATTGGTTAGTTTTCCTCAACAATTCGAGATTACTCATTACTTTTGATCCATTAGCAACTTTGATATGGGGCTACGATATTGTTTAGTGGAACTTCTACCAGAATTACTACTCCTTTAATCTCTTAGAAAACCTATACTGGAACCACTTCTCTGACTAACCGCTATTATTTCCAGCTCTGATCTCTATAACAAACGCTCAGTCCAACTTCACTTCTTTCATTGACTACGAGTCAAGAGCAGTGGGTTTGCGAGACAGCAAGGTATATTAGTTGTAATTTGATTGCCTTGAGCTGTTGCAGTATCCCGTACCCACTTTGCACCGATGCTCAAATCCTTCAAAAACTCTCTATTTCAAATCGTACAAAGATGCAGCAAGGAAACGCGTTTACACTAATTTCCGATTCGTGTTCATGCGCGTATGAGCTAGTTCGGCGATGTAAAACAGTTTGTTGGCTCTTAAATACAATTCATTGTGCGGCTGAAACAGGAATTGTTTTTTTTCTAAATTTGAGAAATCGAACAACTCTGCAACTTCCATGGAAAATCAGGAAAACTGCAAATTTTCTTTGAAGCGAGCTCTGCAAACTGTATTGGCGCTTCTGCTCCAAGGCTCTTCCACGTGAAGGTAAAAATTCAAAAAAATATGAATTGTCCGAAAAATTGAGAAAAATCCGACCTTCGTCCAAAAATTTTTTAACACGTTTCGGACCGCGAAATCGCGCGCGGCGAAAAAGAGGGTACTTTCAGCCGTTAGCCAACAAAGGGACCTTGATTCGTAGAGTGTGTGCTACATTTGTAATCAGCATGTCAGACAAGATCCATACCCAAAGTTCTGAGTGAATTCAAAGTGTTTGAATTTTGCCGCTTCAGAAGGACTTCTGTGCTTCTTTGAAAGATAGGAACAACAACCCAGTTTCTAATACTATCGAAAAGTATCTATGTTGTACACAGTACGCATCATTACTGAAACCACGGTTCTTCTCTTTGAAATAGGAGCAAAGAAAAGTTGCGACGTCGCACGCGTCGTTCGCGTTGCCGCACTTCGTTGCAACTGTTGTTCGATTTGTCCTCATATCTTCTAAACAAAAACCGTTGGCACAGCTCTACAGAGTCACTTGAAAAGGAGGAGCTTAGGCCTTTGATTTGATAACCTTGGACAAAAAGAAAACCTCCTGCAAAGATTGAAAAGATCCTTGAAAGGAGCGTGCTGCACCATGTGCAGCACCGGTCCGAAACGTGTTAAAGGACCTCCACTTGCACACTTTTATACTGTCGACATCAGACTATCATATATACAGTTGCTGCATTTTTCTTACTAGAAACTGAAAAATTTTTTTGTATTCTTCTCAAAGCAATGCCGAGCCATTTAAAAATGAGTATTTCTATGGTATGAGCTTACACAACCAAAACCGTGAACAGCCTGTTCCGAGCGATAGTTCTCGAGAAAATCCGATTTCAAAAATTCAGATGAGGAAAGCTAAATTTCAAATCCCTCGCAAACTTCCTCTTGGAGCAGACTGAGGATTTACATTTACACCTACACAAATTT